GTCGAGATGTTTGCGATTGAAGGACGTGGGGGTCACCTGGTGTCAGAGATTTAAAAATACCCAGAAAATGGCTGCTAAAGTTTAGGGACTTCCAAAGCTTGAGTGACTTTTGAAACTGTATATGTACATAGATCTACTGTATCGTGAGAGGGAGATTGGTCAACCGAAGGGAGAGTGGACGGACAAGCGTAGAAATTCAGACAGACATACATACAGACAGACAGACAGACAGACAGACAGACAGACAGACAGACAGACAGACAGACAGACTGACTGACTGACTGACTGACTGACTGACTGACAGACAGATAAGCAAGCGACAGACAGACAGAGAGACAGACTAAATGACACACAGAGAAAGAGAGAGACACAGAGAGAGAGAGAGAGAGAGAAGGGGTGGGGAACAGACAGACAGCGGTTGATTTTAAGTTACAGGTCTTCGTCTCCCCACCCTTCTCCCACCCCGTACCCCTGTACCCCTGTACCCCTGTACCCCTGTACCCAGCCAGTATTATCACAGCATTATTTGCATAGACTCGGAGCCCTTGCGCCCTGTGGTGCAGGAAGAAACCCGTACATTACACCAATATCATAATAGTTGGTTTTGAAATATGGCACGACACAGCGGAATCAGGCGCTCGTCAATTTTTTAGCATTATTATTATAGAGTTAATGGTATGATCTTAAAGCGTGTTCTTTTGCCTTGGTTTTTGAGGAAGAAATACCCATCTAACTTGAATAGAAGTCGACATAATTGCCAGTGAAGGAAAAGGGGGTTGTTAGATGTAAAAGGAAAAATTAGCGAGAAAATAATACGAAAGTTTAGTGACTTTCAAATTTTAGCTATCTTTGGAAACTCCAAATATATCTTTTGTGCCTTTGGGGAACGTTTTTCAAGAAAATTCCCACAGAAATGTGTTTTTTAAAAGGCTCAAAATGTGTTGAGCCAAAAAAAGAATGAAGAAAGAATTGATAAAAATTGCCTAATGGGTGGGAAAATATTTGTTTCTGTGATTTCATTATTGTGACGAGGGCCTGATTTTGCCACGATGCTATACATTCACTCAAAACTCAAGACACAAATGTTTGGTCCCATGGTAAAGTCGAGCGATCTTGAAAGGAAACCGCTTTGTGATTGTACAAGCGTTCCACTCAATGCCTTTACGTGTTTTCAATTTTGGTGGAAGTGGTTAGGGTCTCAAAGATCTCCCAGGCCATTTATTCCTGCTTAGTACGGTATTGTGTTGGGGCTGAATTGGAATCAATAAAACGTCTTTTGAAGTTGACACTTCGATTTGTTTATCTAAGGGAAGAGGATTTCGTTTGTCACAAAAGGAGATCATAAAAAAGGTATTATGTTACCTGCTGACAGTCAAAGAGACCCCGCTACCTACATTCAAAAGGAAGTGTGTGGGCATGTTCTAGTCTTTCTCTGTGGGAAAAGAAGAAGATTATGATATATGTTTATCTCTTCGTGGTTGTTTTGTTTTTGCTTGTTTGTTATTTGCACTTGAAGAGGAAATGAGCTGTCTAAATTTGCATTT